TTTCTTTCCCCAATTCCCATCCCTCCAGCGCCCCATATAATGCAGTTGTTAAAAGTTTGTCTCGTCTCTTCTCAGCGGCTTCACCATGTTTTGCCCAAAGAGAGGGAAGAGAGCGGGTGGGCTCAGGAGAACAGGTACATGAGTCCGGCAATACTGCCATCCGCCGCACGCCCAGTAGCGCAGCTCACCGCAAAGTTCACCATGACCGATTCCGCTCGGAAGCTCTTGGACACAAGCTCCGGTGCGGGGGCATTGTCCAAGTGACAGCAGCGGCACGAAGACCTGTACTCATGCACGTCACGTCCCCACGTCTCTGGGGGCTGCTTCGGCAACGCAAACTCATACAGGCGACGGCTGATGTCAAAAAACTTGGCGCCCAGTTCGGTTGCCCCGCCACTGCTCTTGTGAACACCACCGGAGCAGAGAAATGACCAGAGCGGTTTCGCAAATACCACGTCCGCGCGAGGATCAATTGCCGCCTGACGAAGGGCGGAGCGGCCCGCCAACGTCCCCTGGGCAGAATGCGTAGCTGCAGACAAAATATCCGGCCATTCCGTCATGCAGAGACAGAAGTCAACGTGGAGGTTGGCTCCTGCGGCAGAACGGGCATACAGCCTTGAGTGTTCCAAGTCGTACCAGACCTGTGACTCATCCAAAACCGAGGTAGGGTATTGAAAAGTCCCACAAAAGGCGAGAAGTGAGGTCGTGATGGCGTCTGCGTCATCACCTGAGCAGGAGGGACTTTTAATGATAGTGAATCCGGCACGCGAACCACGTGTTTTTTCCACATACTTCACATACCGTACAAAATCCACGCGGCACTCGCATAATGTCTTACAAGATGCATCATGCCACGTGGCCCGACGAAGGGCCTCTTTGCATGATTGACTCGCAGCAGCCGCCTTGGAGAGCGCAGAAAGGACTACGGGATTCCCAAAGTCTACCTTCTCGATCAACCACGCCTCATCATGGAATTCGCCGGCCTTCAGGCAACGCACTTTAACGCCACTTTCCAGTCGCTTGCTAGCACTTGACGCTAAATTAAAACGGAAGGTGCTGGTAGCAATCATGTGGGTCGCGGCAAGCCGGAATTCACGGCGCATTGCAGCAACGACGTCCTCTGAAAGGCAAAAGTAGGCAGCAAGGACGTGATCCATCAAGGCATCATTGTCGCCGTCATGCGCGGCGACCTCCATGATGTCGTTGAGCTCCTTCGGCACTTCCAGCAGCTCAGCTCCGCGTGGATTGGTCGCCAAGGCAGCAAATGCGGCACTCAAGTGGTGGCGCTTGAAAAGAAACTCCAGTGTTACGCGAATGATACGAGAGAAGGCGGTCACGGCGCCAATGAGCGCCTCGCCCGTGCCGTGGCGAAAAACATAGAGTGATCGAAAGGGACAGGTGCCCTCCTGCAGCGTGAGGCGCCAGAGACAAGGGTGGTCCTCCCTATCCACTGGTGTGGCCCGCACACATTGCTGCTCGGGTAGAACTTTAAGTGGTTTGTGAATGGTTTCCCGACGAGGGGCGGCGGGGTACGACATCCAGCCGAGACAGTCCAAAATATCCTTGTCGCGCTCCTTCAGCCGCCAGCAGCCGTCGGCGGTCGTCTCAAGGTCCACGTAACGGCTCACACAGCGCTCTCCAGCGAGGTAGTCTGGGCCGGGGGAGGTAAACGAGGTAAAGGTGTGATTTTGCTCGGCAATCCCAACTTTTTGCTCATCTGCATACGAGATGACGCCAACGTGCCCCCACGGGAGCAACTTGGCGTGGTAGGGGTAGACGATGATGTCGCCGGGGGTGGGCCGCCTCGTCGATTTGCCGTTGGGGTGCGCAATGAATTCGAAGGTGGCGCCCGTCTCCACGTGCGTCAGGGTCCTCATGGCAAATATCTCGCTTGCCCGTCCGCAGGAGGCGAAGACGCAGCCAGTGGTGAGGAGCAGAAAGCGACGCGCGTATTCCACGCATTGGTAGCGAAACCCGGTGTACACGACGTGGTCCACGTAATTGGATTCGCCACTGAAGAAGCCATCGTCGCGGTTGGAGGAGGCAGTCACACCCATGAAACTTCCCTGCTCCTCACCGTACGGCAAAGGGCGAGAAGGCTCTACTTGCCCGTATCCACTCATGTCGCCAATCTCCGCCTTGTGCAAGGGCAATAGCAAATGGATCAAAAAGAAAAAAAAGCAACGAAGAGTAGGTGGAAGGCGCGACGCCAATGAACTAACACTAATCAAAAACGAACCTGTAGAACAAGAAAAGAAAAAAAAAGGGGGTGGGGAGGGGGAGGGGGAAATAAGAGAAAGAGAAAAATAAACCTTTGCGTGGAATGAGAGAGGGGGTAATTATTGTTTACTCGCTCATTTGGGTTGCCGCGTCTGCGGTTGTGTGCGGGGAATATCTTGGTGCACATCTTCGAAGAGGCACAGCAGGCACACACACGTATCCACTCTCCTACTGCAGGGAGATACAGGGAATAAGGCGAAAAATAAATAAATAACGTGACAAGAGCACCCACTCAGATACAGCAGTGAGAAGACGCACTCCTACCACATCTCCCCGCCAAAATATGCCCGCGTTTATTGACATAAGAAAACTTCTGCCATCTGCAGTGTGAATGTCAAAGCCGCCATGCAATCGACGATGACAACCTTGTCAGCATGCTCTCCGCGGTGCCGCCTGCCTTGGGTTGCACGGGCTTACGCTCTGGCGACGAACACTGGAGAAGGTACGCGCTGAGCTCATTTAGAGCAGACAAGAGCGTCGGCGGCAGAGTGCGGTGGGCGGAGCTGACCACGGTGATGTCGCAGGTTCCAACAATGACGCTGCGCTCCTTCCGGCGGTGGCGCACCCCGTCCAACTTGATAGCTGCCTGCAACTCCATCAGAGAGGGTGTCCCGCGGGACCCCTCGCGGTAATTGTTAAACACAACGACAAGTGGCACAGTGGTAAAATGATCAGTGACGACGCGCAAATAGGCCGCGGCATCCTTTAGACCGCGCCTATTCATGCTGTCCACCACAAAAAACAAAAAATCAATCTCCTTCATGTGTTCCACATAATAACGCCAATTCCCTCGAAACGTCTCACGGCCGCCAAGTTCATTCATGGCAAATATCCATTCCTGAAAGGCCACCACCTGCCGTGAAAGTCCAACCGTCGGAACCGTGGATTGCACAAGACCCTTTATGGAGTTCAGTATAAGCGTCTTACCGACGTTTTCCAGGCCGGCCACCAAACCCACACGCCACCCCCGCCGGGCGATCTTTGCCTCAAGCGGCAGCAAGTGGTTCAGCGCCACCCGCGATACACACTGAAAGTCATAAATTTGCCCCAACAAGTCGGGTGAGGCGTCGCTGCTTTCCGCGAATGGTTCCGTCCCCGATGCAAAGTGGACTTGCCGCTGCCGCTGCATCGCACTCTCGCGCAGCCATTCCTCTATCCCCGCCACACTCTCTTCGTATTCACATAATTCATACAGCAACGTCACGGCGGAGGGAAGGTCCAGCGAGGTTGTCATCTCTCCTCTAATGCTGTAGCTATACATGAAGCGAAGCCGACGCAAATTGGAGACCAGCACGCGCACCAAGTCATGTTTGCGAATACGACGATTCTCAAAGGCCGCCTCAAGGGAATGGATAGCGTCAATGATGGCGTCGGCTCCAATCTTCAGATTCACAGAAGCACCTTGGGAGTCGTACACCAAACTCACCACCCGGTGCATGTCAAGAACCTGCGTTTCTGCACTACGCTCAAATGCCACCGCGTCTCCCAAGATATAGGACGAGGTGGAAGACCACGACGAACTTGAGTCACTGGCATTGCCGAGATTACTGCCTGGTTCTGGGATATCGCCCAGTTTCTCCTCACACCAATCCTTAAACATGGCAACAGGCATAGAGGGAAAAATAATCAACTCTGACACGACTGCGTATGCATGATTGGCCTGCGGCGCAACACGCCATTTGCTAACAAGGTCCATCATTGCCGCTTGATGCTCTTCTGTTGAACAAAGAATGTAATCCGTCAAAATGTTCTGCTGAATCTGTGGATCGGGCAGACTTTTCGTCGTCCCAACCACAAACGGGACAAAGTCCACGACGATGGAAGAGATATTTTTAAATATCATTCCAAAGAGAGGACTATAAACCTCATTGGAGGATGCAAACCCAGTCGAAAGCTGTTGAAGGCTCTCCAGTCGGCCCAAGTAAATGTTGCTGCATGAAAGCACTAGATGTGACAAATTGCGAAGCAGCAGCGGGACACCAACTTTTGCGCAGGCGAGGAGGAGATTGCCCCATATAATCTTGACACGCCCGTTTCCCCCCAGTGCATGCGAAAAGGCGGCTCTAACTTCGCTCATCCGCTTGCTAAGCTCCGCAAGAAGAATAAGATTTACAAGCTCGTCACGCAATGACATAACCATAACACGCGATTTCGGATAGGCCTCACGGTATTTGGATATCATCATCACAGCATGCCTGCAACGTTGCTGATATTCAACCGTCGTCGTCACAAGCAAATTGGGTGGTTTACCAGCGTTAACCGTCTTCTCGTCAAGTGTAATGCCTATCCCGGAGACGTAGTCTCCAATGTACTTGATGTACACGGAGTCGTCCGCCGCACCCTCGGAACGTCCAAAGTCTTCTGCCACCTCCACAATCTGACGCTGCACATCTCTCAAAAAATCCTCGTGTACGTAACGACGCAGGTATCGCTCCACACGCGCCGTGTCCCTCAAGTTTTCCCTCCACTGAAATGTGAAGGGAAAGGGTTTCTTGAGTCCTAGCAACTCGCCGATCTCACGGCACACGGCAACACAGCTTTCGTTCGTGGTAAGCCATCCCTCAATGCAAGGGTCTCGCCAGACATGAGATTGGGTTATTTTCATAATGTCACCTGAGTCCGCAACATGAAAGCGCACATTCCCCACCAAATCGCGGGTAATTGCCACGTTCAAAACGAGACTGCGCGTGGTGGGATCATACTGTGGCCCAGTGTTGGGCTGCAGCCCAGCAGCTGCCACCGTGAGAGTGTATCGCCGCGGAATGTCATTTTCACTGCCATATTTGTGAACCACCGCGGAGATGGTGTCAATCGCCACGTCCACTGCCTCAACCAGGTACTGCAAAAGATCGTCGGGGATTTCACTCAGGCATGCAATGGCTAGCGTAATGCTTACACCGAGCAAACGCTCCGCCGCCATTGTTCGTCGCTGGGCAACACGCAAAACATTTTGGTCGCGGTTGTAGGCGGCATAATGTTCGATGAGTCGCGTGATGGCCGCGTACCAGCGATCCCGCTCGGTCATTGAGTTAAATCGGAACCGAATGCTTGCGGAGAGTCGCAGATGCAAGACGAGACCGTAGAATTTGTTCTGCTTGCACCCCGATAAGACGATTCCTCGCACCTCCGAGGCGGAGTACTTTGTCAGTGGGAAGGGTTCCTGGTCATTCTTGTAGACTTCCAGCCGGCCCTGTGTCTGGTCCACGACCCAAAATCGCTTCTTGTACGCCACGAACGGGTTGCGACTACTTCCCTTGACGTGCATGCAACGCACAACCCCCATGATGTTTTCCTCATTGCTTGGCGCAGGGTCCATTTCCGAAGGCAGCATAATCCGTGTCGAGTCTTCCCCGCCGCCGCTGCCACCAGCATTCGCCCGCCGAGCCTCGACAGCGTAGGACGTTCATGCGCAGAAGAGCCAAAAAAAGGAAAGAAAAGAAAAAATAAATAAATAAATAAAAGGAAACGGAGGGGGCGGGACAACATGAGCAAAGCAAAACTGAACAACCAGTCACCGCGTCTCAACCGCAACTAGCAGCACCCCGCAACGCACAACGGCCAAAGTCTCCAGGCCAAGAAAATGAAAAGGAGTTCACCATTTTTCCCTCCTCTTTTACTTTTTTTTTTGCCAGTGTTGGCTTGCTTGGTTCTTCAGTTTCCTCTTGGTCTCGCTGATTCACCCTGACGCTTCTTGTCTCTTATCCTTTCCTTTTCTTTCCTCCCTCCTTCTTCTTACAGCCTCCGCCCAGCGAAGAGACGCGTGCGGCGCTTAGTCGGCTTCATGAGTGCCTGCACGGCCTCCAATTCCGCCGGCGTGGCGTAGGTCGCCTCAAACCGCCTCCACTCCGTTACGATGGGAGACACTAGGAATTCCCCCCACAACTTTACCTGCTGCACGGCGTCGTAGCTCGCGCTATCATCAAATCCTCCAAGCTTCCGGAGCATCTCGGGCCGCTCCCGCTCCAGCATCTCACGGAAGGCGGTGCGCATCCAATCTACAGAAGACGCCTCGTATTCTCCTGCGCGTTGCGTGGCCACAAGAGCAAAATTTGCAACAGCCCCCACCGCCTCACCCCAGCGTGCGAGGGCGGGCGCTAAAACATCCGGCATGCGTTCTGGGGGCGGAGACAGAATCCCTCCCGTCGCCGTGGTCTTTCGCTTCCACTCAAGCGCCTCGTACGTGTACTCCTCCCAGACAGAGTCCAACAACTCACGGTAGAGCTGCAGGAGGGCATTCTTCTCTCTCCTTGTCGACTCCTCCTCGCTTGCGCCAACATCCTGCGACGCCTTCTGTAGAGTGCGCAGAAGTCGACGCTTCAAAGCCAGCCGTCGGGCCCAGGCCTGATCCACCTTTTCTAACATTCTGTAGCGATCCGCCATCGAGGAAGCGGCCCGTGCCGCTGCGGACAAGGAGTGGATGCACGCGGCTCGCAGTGCATCGGAACGGTGAAACTGCTCCTCCTTCTCTTCCATCTTGGCGTACCCCTCCCAGAGAGTGAAGTCGTGTGGGAATTGCTTGATCGCGGTCTGGAAAATGGTCCGACTCCGCTGCACCCGATCCTCACGGCTCAATTCGCCCGCTACGCAAGCTTGCTCCTCAAGCCGCAATGCCGCAGTGAACACCTCCGGACAGGCCGAGAGGTTCAGCGCGGCCCCCAAAAGCCTGCGAGCCTGGGGGTATGCCCCATGCCGCTGCTCAAGCGCGGCCGCCTCCATCCAGAGGCGAGGGCACCACGCCCTCTGGAAGGGAAACTCTTTAATGCAACTCGCCAGCGCTGCACGTGCTGCGGTGAGGTCGCGCGCCTCCATGAGGCGTGCGTACTCCATCACGATAACGGCCTGTTGTTGCACTGCTGCTGGATCTTTGTCCCCATCAACGTGGGTCCGGACGGCAGAGGTGAGGCACATCAACGCCTCTTCACTTGAATTCTCTCCTCTCGCGTCATCGTCGCTGCTATGCTGGACTGCGTCTCGCAGTATAAGATACTGTGACACGCACGCATCAAAGTCGTAGGGGTTTCGAGTAATACGCTGCTTATACATCGCCTTGGCCACCGCAACCGCCACGGCCTCACAGTTTTCGTTGTCCCCATAAAACCGCTCAAAATGACTATACGCCGCAAAAATATTGTCCAGGGCACTGACTGAGGCACACTCCCGCAGCATACGGTGGTACACCTGTCGTGCTGCCTCGAACTTTTTCGTCGCCGTAAGAGCGTCGGCCCATGCAAGTGGGATGCGGCAGTCTACCTCACCATTTGTGTAGGCCTTCGGAAGGGCCTCCATCGCCGTCTCGTAGACCTTCACTGCGCGGTCCGCGTTTCCAAGCACATCCAGCTCGGTGGAACCATAAAACAACCACGTCTCCACAGTACCGTGCGCTTCAACGTAGCGACGAATAACGCTTCTACAAGCGTCTGTCCTTTGGCACTGCGCCTCAAAAAGCGCAAACAACTCCCAGGCGCACGTAGGCGGGGTGGGGCCCGAGAGCCAGCGGTTGAACACGTCACGCACTCTGCTTTCCTGTCCAGCAGCCTGCTCAAGCACGAGATACTTCAACCAAAGATCCGTGGAAGCAGGCAACGCTGTCACCCCGCGGTCCCACACCGCCCGCGCGTGGTTGACAAATCCGTGCTCCTCCTCCAGCTCGGCGTAGTCACGCCACAAAACAGGGGAGGTCCCGTGAAACTTAACAGCACGCTCCAACACGCTACGCATGCGCTCAAAATCCTTTTGCTGTGCTTCCCAGCGAGCGTACTTCACCCAGTTACCGAGGAAAGCGTAGCCCCGCTTCACTCGTTCCTCTAGTTCGGCTCGCGTCTTTTGGCGGTACAGGGCAAGCTCCTCCCGGCTGTTAATCACGACCCGTGTACTATCGTTGACGGGACCGGCCCCGCGCTGCATCTCCTGGGCGTCCGCAATCAGCTGCGCGGCAGTGAGCTGCGCCGTCGAGGCGCGGGCGTCACGAAACACAGAACGCCGACGCAGTGCAGCGGCCGCTGGCCCCATGTCCTCCCTTTCGTGCCGGCGCCGCTTCATCGGACCCCTGCCAAGAAGAGAGTGCTATAAGGAAAGAAAGATTTAAAAAAAGAAAAAAGGGGGCGGGGAGGGAGAGAAGGGAAGGGGGAAATGCCATCAGTAAAAAACAAAGTGGTATAAAGCGCAGTCGAAGGTGGGACGGAAAGCGAGCAGAAAAGCCACCCACGACGGCTGCAACCGCAGTGATAAAGCACTCATTCGAATGTGTGGCTCTGTAAAACACAAATAAACGAAATAAATATCGGGTCCAGTTCTTCACTGTTCGCCGCTTTGCGCTTTTTTTTGTTTTTGTCTTTGTGGCGTTGGATTTTCTTCCCTTCTTTGGTTTTCAGGGTGGTACGCGGGGGATTTTTTCTAAGCTCCTCCATTAGCGGAGGTAGCACCCCCTGCAGTTGTCTTACCGCCCTTCTCCCCGGCATCGTCCACTTCGTGGTCAAAAGAAGAGGCCTCTCCAGACTCCACGCAGTCGTGCTCTCCCCTGCGGAAACGCCTCGCTTTCCCGCTTCCGTCCTTCCTCCTGCCTTCTCCTTCGCTCCAACTTTGGAGGTAGGGGCTCCTGAGCAGCGCGCTTCGTCGGCCCCCTATCCTCTGTTACCCACACACACACACACACACACACACACACTCCAATCTGTTATTACTGTTAGTATCCTACGCCGTTAGCCAACTTGAACCCCTTTACCGCCTCAAAGGACTTCAAAAACGTTTCTGCAATGGACCCGGCTCGCGTCGGGCCGAGGCGCTCCAATAGGAGCGGGGAATCCAGCAACTCGCGTGCCCTGCGAGACATACGATCAAAAAGCCCCGCAGTCATGGAGGCCTCGCCCATTTTTGACGCATCCTCATCGTTGCACAGAGCGTCCGTGAGAACACCGGTGCCGATACGCAGCGCCTCCACTAGAGGCAACCAGGGCTGGGCAACACTGGCGCCGCTAGTGCTACCGGTGTCAGAAAATACCGAAGGCGACGGTTCCTCGCTCTCCTCCTCAGTCTTCACCGTATTCGCCCTCGCCATCTTCGCCTGTCTGCAAAGCAGCATCTCAAAGGTTTCCATCAATGCCTGCAGAGCCTCATAACGATCCGCCCGTTCGAGGGACTCAAGAAGAGCGGGATGTGTCCGCGTAAAGTCGAGTGAGAGTGCCGCAACAACCGTGCGTCGCAATGGAGCAAAGTGATTCGACGGCAAGGAGAACTCTTCACATCCGTCAATCATCTCACACCACTCCACCAACGCCTCCTCGTCGCTTGTGTAGTCTGTGGAGGCAATCAGGTCTCGCACTTGCTCCTGGAGAACAACACCAACGTCGTACCCAGCCATGGCCGCGAAGCGACGGGCCTCTGGCCAAAATCGCGACTCCATAAGCGCCTCAAGAAATCTTCTGACTGCTGCCTCCTGCGCCCCACTGGGCGGATCCTCTGTCCACAAATCCGCGCAGTCCACATGTTGGTTTGCGCTCAGCAACTTCTTTTCGCAAAAGGCCTGAAAGTGCCGTCGGCGCAGCCACGGAAGTTGGTTGCGGTTTAACGGCGCTTTTGAAGACGCTTGCTCCGGGGCATGCGCATAGGCGGTGGCCCCGTATGCCGCCAGCGTCGACGCCTCTCGCTCCTCCTGCTGTGTAGTCAAGTGTACATCAGGCGCAATCAGTTCACCGGCCGTGAGCGCAAGCGCAGTGAGCTCCAGCACCGCCTCCACAGCACTCGAGCGAGGTGCAGAGCAGCGGACCACGTTGACGAGGTCTGTCATCATGCGGGCGGCCTGCCCGTACGCGTGGCGCTTGCAAAGAAAGCGGAAGAGCCCCCGTGCCGCCTGCAGTCGCACGACATCCACCTGCGACGACGTCGTCCTTGTTGGCAGTCTCGCCGCGTACAAAAACCACTTTGCCGCGAGAAAGCCGTCTAACTCGGCGTTGGAGTGGGCGAGCGTGACGAGAGCGTCGGTTACTTCCTGCGAGGCGGAGGCCAACTCCGCCACCTCGCCGACAACCGACAGGACCCGCTCCAAGTAGATGTCCGTCGTTTTTTGCTCAGCCGCACACTGCAGCACCTCTTCCAGCGAACGGAAGACATCGCCGACGTTGGCCTCATCCAACGCCACGCGTGCAAGGAAGAGGTGGGTCTCGAGTTGAAGCTCCAGAAGTGCCTGGTGGACTCGTGAGGAGGCCGCGCCCGCGAGACGTGCGTACTGCTCCAGCTCCACCAACTCGGTTAGAAACAGCTCGCGTACCAGCAACCCGCTCACGCTTGCGTGGTACGCGTCCCGTGGATAAATGACGCGGCGAAGGAGCGACACGCGGTACACCTTCGCAACAAGCGTCGTGTTCGTGAGCAACACCCGCCAATCCTCCACAGGTACGTTGCTAAAAGCCGTGTGCAGAAACCCTCCACCGGAGCTATCCAATCCGGTCTCGAGGAGAAGTGGCACGGCGATGCTGGCCGGCAGGCTCGCTAGGTGGAAGGAAGCCGCCAGGCACATGTTCACAAATTGAGAAGAACGTGCGGTTCGACCGGCGCCAAGATCGCGGAGAATTCGAAAGTGCTGCAGGCACGGGTGGCGGCGACCCAAGAGATTGCACCACGTCGCACACGCCCGCACTCCAAGATGCCCGTCACACGCCCAGAGGCGCTTCGCCACGTGTACGGCGTACAGTGCATCCTCCCCCTCCTCGCCCCACACCGGTTTAAATTGAAGCAACAGCTGCAGCACATCGGCGGTGACGGTTTCGCCCACACAAGGCGAGATGGAAGCGACATGCGGTCCAGCAACGCCCATCGCGTGGTACGCCGCGGAAAGGAACTCCAGGACGACACGGACGCGCGGCAACTCCAGACTCGTGTTGTAGGCCAGACCAGAAGACATCCAGCCAATGTAAGAACACACAAGGTAGGCTATGCGTGATAAAAGATCCCTTGAGACGGTATGCTGCACAAAACGCCGTGAAAAACTGCAAAATGAGGTGTTTCTAAAAGGAAGCTCCGCGTAGGTTGCGGCGTGCTCCACAGCAAGTCGCATTGCGGCATCGTCCACAAAGCTCGACGAGGCGTAACCCTGCAGGTGAGCCGCACTACGTAGAAGCTGAAAGCCGCCAAGGGTGAGGGCCACGGGCACGCTCTGCACCGCACTGATGAGTAGCGCCGAGAGATTGTTTGCACCGTCGGCGCACGACGCCGCCAACTCGACACCCTCCTCAAACGCCTCTGTATCCATGCACTGCAGGCGGTCCTCGTAGCGAACCACGGCGGGAATGAGATGCATCGCCGGAAGTGCAAGGGAGTTCCGAGTGAAGGCCACGACAGGACGACCAACCGCAAAGGAGGATTCAACCAGCGCTTCGAGAGGATTCATTTCGTGGGATAACACATGCGCCCGCACTTTCCCGTCCATCTTCTCAATCAGCACCAATTCCTCCCCTACACATGTTAAGGCGTGAAGCGGGTGCGAATTGCAAAAGTAAACTTCCGTCTCCTTTAAAGGCAGGCGCGCAACGAGGGTGTTTCGCTGATTATTCTCATTCCTTCGATCGTCCCCTTCGTTGGCGGCCTCATCCTTCGCCTGTGCCGTAACAAGCTGCAGAATGCCTGAGGTGCCTTGCTGCGTGCTGTGCAGCAGTGACCCAATGGAAATCGGGGGACACAGGCAAGCGTCCTCCTCCAGGCCGACATCCCAAAGGAGAGCAAGATGAGTTTCACTCATCGCAACGCATCCCATAAGTGCACTGGTCGCGGTAGGAGGAATTACTGTCATGCTTCTCGCACCTTGAAACGTGTCCCCCGCCGTAGTGACAGGTAAACGCGACCACACACAGCGGCAGACTTCATTGTCGCCGAAGCATGTCAGCACGTGTATATGGTCATTAAGGAGTGTGGACCACTGATACACGACACTGGAAGCCACAACGTCCTCCTTCGATAGAGTGCAGGAGGAGATGGGAGCCGTGGAATCACGCGAGCTGTCATATAACTCTAATAATCCATTGCAATGAAGGAGGAAAATGTACTGCGTCTGTTGTACGGCGTTGATGGTCAGACACCATTGCTCCTTTGCCCGTTTCCCGTCCCACGGCCAGCTGGGAAGCCAAGACGCAACTCCACCAACTCGTGAGGACACCGCAGTGCCACCTGTATTATAGCCATTTTGATTACAGAGCTCCTCCTCGACGAAAGCGCCATCTTCGCCCACCTCCACCCACCACACGCTGATGCCATTGGTAAGGAAAATCATGGAAAGCAACCCATTGGACACCTGATCTTGAGGAAGACTTGCAACCACGCATGCTGAAAGCGAAGCCCCCATACCAACGGCTTCTCCAGAATCTTTGTTAACCTCACTGGTGGTAACAAAAAGCGTTTCGGATTCATTTTCAAATGCCTCCGCAACGCGTGAGAGTTGCGAGGTCAGCACTGCCTTGCCAGCAGGCACAAGAAGAAGTTGACTCTGGTGGTCACTGTTGCGTTGCAGCTGAAGCCGCAGCAGCCCCACCTCCAGCAGCGAGGTCACCCAGGTGACGGCAAAGACAGTTCCTTCCTGAATGTGGGTGAGGCCGCAGGCGATGATCGTCTGGCGCGTTGCAGGAACCTCCACCGACATTTTGCGGCAGGAGTAACTCACATCGCCGGGTGAGCTGCTCGTGAAGATGAGGTGCACCAGGGGTGCGTCGCGATCCAGCCACCAAAGCAGCGTGGCCCGCAGGGAGGGGACCGGAATGGAGCCGCTGTTGAAGCAGCCCCTTGCACCACGCGTGGCGAAGGGGGCACCAGAGGCCTCGGGACGCGCCTCCTCGCCCCCCGCATGCGGCTGACGTGTCGCCCGCACATGAAGGGCACTGCTGGCATCGGCCTCATCAAAGAACAGCGTGCTGAGCATTCAAGCGGGAAAAAATGTCTTCTTCCCCTTTTCTCAGTGTGGGGAAGCGGATCCTGGGGAGAGGAGGCGGTGTCCAAGGCGGCCTCCGTTGAAACGATGACGAATGCTCCGCGGCTGCACGCTGCCTCAGACGATGGAGATTTTTTTTAAAAAAGCGAGCTCTTCTCTCCCGCACAATCGAAGAGAAATCATCCACCCCCCAAAAAAAAGCGAGGGAGCGAGAGAGAGGAAAAAAAAAAGAAGGCAAGAAAAGGGACATAAGGAAGAGCGCGGCACTGGCATGGGGAACACCCGGAAAAAAGAGGGAACGCCACACAGACACAAGCGCAATAAGAAAGTGCCGCGGCAAAACAGATGTTAACAGCAGGAGTCGTCAGAAGCCGCAGTAACGCCAGCACACACATGCACTCTCTCTCCCTCTTTCTCCTCTCACTGCCTTCTTTTTATTCCGTAGATACATCCAACAATGGAAAGCATTGCCCATCCTCACGCAAACACGCTGCTCAACCCATCCGCACCGTAAAGAATCCTCGACAGGGTCGTCCGTCGCGCATGCGTACGCACATGCAAGAAGAAACGCAAATATAAAATAAAAACAGCGCCCGGTATGGACAGTGAAACAGTAAGTGTCCAAAACCAAGGGCTTCGAAGAAGAACTATCCCCTTTGCGCAGAAGTTTACATGCAAGAAAAAAAAACAGGAATTCACCCTCTGTTTTCTTGTGGCGCGGAGGGGGAAGAGCGTTGGGTCGTGTCGTCAAAGTGGCGACGCTTCACCGTTAAACCAAAAGCACCGGACCCCGCACTTTCCACTAACGCTGCACTTCCGCTGGCGTCACTCTTTGTGTTGCTCGCGTGCTTCAAAAGTATGGTTCCTGTTTTGTTTCGGATAATGTTCTGTTGGAGCTCCAGCTCCCGTCGAATATTCAAGTATCTTTGGAAGAGCAGATCCAGCTCCTTTTTCCGCAACCGCTCAAACTCAGCCCGACGCCGTTCTATTTTGTTGTTCAACACCCTGAGTTCCTGCTGCTGCTTCTGCCGCAGCAGTTCCTCTCTGCGCTCAAACAACTCTATCTTTGCCTGCATGAACCGCTCCACATCTTTCGCTTCTAATCGGTCAGCCTTCAGCTTGGTGCGGTGGGCGCGTGCGTACTCACGCTGCGCCGCGAGGATGTGCTCCACAGCCCTCGCGTCCAACAGCCCCCGACTACACTTCGCAGTGTTCGGGGTTAAGTCATTCATCTCTTTGTAAAAGGCCTGCAGCTCCGCATTCTGCCGCTCAAGAAGCGCAGTCTCCAACTCCATCTGCTGCTCTTCGAACGCCTCAATACGTGCATTCCACACGCGGTGAAACTCCATAAACTCCTCACGGTGCGCGTCTTCTAGAGCCTGGCGCTCCTGCATCTGCTGCTCCGTCAGCCCGCGCACATGCCGCGTTTCCTCGTCAAGCCGCAGATGGCGCAAAACCTGCTGCACGAGATCCGCCTCCACGTAGCGTGCACGGACCTGGCACGCCTGGCGGTACTCGCGCAACGTCCTTGTGTACTCCGCAGTGGAAACCTCCTCCCGCTCGCCGTTTGCGGCTAAGTCCTCCAGCGCCGCTCTGGCCCGCTGCTCCAGCGCAACAAACTCATCATCTTTCAGCTCAGCGGCATCCCCTTTCTCCACGTCCAGGACAGCGGGACTCGAGCGCGACATCGATTTCGAAGTCATGGCGAGTTTTCACTGAAGTGCGTGCGGGGGCGCAACACGGGCGAGGCGCGGCGGAGTCGGGGCCAAGGAGCAATAGCAGCCGCTCCAGAAGAGTTGTGAATCCCAGGCAACACGACGGGAAAACACCGGAGTGAAGCGGGGGGCCGAAGTGGGAAAAATCCCGCGGGCCCGTCTGCAACACGACGTCGGGGTGGCAACCTTGTTGTTGCTCTCCTTAGCTTGTGCGCGAGAATAGGTGCGGAGGAGGCGGCGGCATCCGTCACTGGCCGGAGTGTGCCACAAGAACAGTGAGCGGCAACAAGCAGCCGACGACACGGAGAGCAAGCAGACACACGCACACGCACACACACACACAGAGAAATATATATATATAAATATATATGTGTATTCGTATCACGGCAGCAACAACACTAAACGGAACACCCACCCACCGCCCCACCTCACAGGCCTTCAAAAAC